TTTGTTGTCTATTTTATATGATTTTTTTAAATATTTAAAAATTTTGGTAAATTCCAAATGCAAATATAATCTATTTGAAAACAAATTTTTTTAGAAAATCTGGTTTCGTAATAATGTAGAAGAACTTCTCGCGTTTATTTTAGTGAAAAAATCATGTTTCTACGACTAACGAGAGCTGATGAAAATGGGAAGTACGAAAGCATGTTTTTACGGCCGAATTTTTCTACCAGAACGGCCTCTTAACATAATACATTTAGTATTTACAATATTACATAATAATAATCTCCTAACAATGTCCGGTTTGCAAGTGTCCGTTAAAGCTAACCGGTGGTTGTAGGTATGTTTCTTACCGAATAAAAACCGACAGAATTTTGTCGGTAATAAAATCCAACCGTTAACATTCACTTAAAATAACGGAGAATAACCAAACCTGATGTCGGTAAGAACTTACAGCAGTTAAATATTAGACTAACCTCCGGTTAGCGTTGCAGACATTGTAACCAGGGCATCAGGACGGCCATTAGGACCTTAGCCCGCGACTAGGTATCAAGTCTATCATATTTAATAAAATATAAATTTCCCGGTCCTTAATTTAAAAAAATAATTTATTTAAAAAAAAAGTTAAATTATTATAATTACCTACCTACTTACATAGACCTATAATAAACTATAGCCTACTTAATATCATAATTCATAGCCCTTATTAGCCCATATAAAAAAATTTGAAATAATTATAATTTCTCAGTTTAATAAATAACGATTGTCAAATAAAATGATAAAATATAATACATTTAAAAACAAATTTCAATAATTATAATTTTTATCTAGGCCTTGTTCTAAAATTGTGATTTGTCAGTTAAAAGTTTAATTAGCTAAAATCATTTTCAGTTTCCAATTTTTAAAGAATATAATAGTTATATTAAAAATATATTAATAATTTTACAAATATGATAATAAACAAATAATTATAATTCAACTTAACCAGCTACCTTATTAATAATGATTCATCATCCAAAATAAGATATCTCTAACAGTTATTTTGCAACATGTCATGACCAACAGGCAACAGTATAGTAGACACATTATACGTTTATGTAGACAAACAGTACCTAGTACCTACTAGTACCTACCTAATTCAAACTGGAATCTCATTTATAATTTGAAAAGCTTATATGTTATATTATGTTATATTATGTTATATAATTAAAAGTTATATGTAAAAACAGCTTTAATTTGCTATATACACAACATAATAACAATTGAAACATATTGTGTTGAATACTTTTTTTATTAATATACAACTGGTCGAAGTCATATTCATGTATTTAAATCTGAAATATTAAGACACAAATAATACAAATAAAAAGAAACAAAAAGGAACCTTATATTCTATAACTGTATACATTTTTGATTTACATTATATACACATTACTGTATTGTTTGCGTAAAATAAAAAGAACGAGTATAAAAATGAGAGGGCTGAATACAAAATTAATTGGATTTATTTTTAAAACTAATTATATAATTTATAGTACAATTTTTACAGGTTAATTATATTAATATAATACTAATGTATATGATCACAGCATACGTCAATCATGTATAATAATGACAAACCTATTGTAATAAGGATACCTATTACTCATTATATTCAAAGTTAACCTATATACAACTACATAAACCATTTAACCAACATGAGCTACAAAGTATTAATTATGTTTATATATATCATAGACATTAAGTGTATTACGACCTGCATAATTCAATAATTAAATTGGGTATTAAACAGTTTGAAAAATGTCATTAAATTCATTGATTTCAATACATATATTATAACAATTTACCAATAACATTTTGGCTCTTTGTATAACTATTTCAATGATAACATTGATGAAAACTATAAATTATAAAAACACCCTATACTGAGTTTATGACAAATAAAAAAATGGATAAAAAAATAAAATAAATAATAATAATTGATACACATAAGATATAAAACAAAAGAAAATAAAAATTCAATTTTGAAAATGTCAAGTCACACAAATGCAGTTATTTAACAATACATAAATCATAATTACATAAACAACGTATAAAGCATTTCTGTTCTTAAAGACCAAATGTTGATATTTCAAATGAAATATAAAACATGATAGATAACAAGCTATATTAAATTTTAAAGTACATTATTGGACATGTCTTTACTTATTATATAAAAATAACATAATTTATAAGAGTACACGATAACTAATCAAATACAGACTATAATATATTAAATAATATAATATATTCTTATAGTTAATCATAAAGTAATGAAGTAGTGAGGATCGGGAGTATGTTAATCAATTCTTTTAAAAAGATTAAACATGATCATAAGCATTTTAAAACTATAACATTTTAACAAATAAACATACTTAAGTTTTGATTTTAATAATATTAATCATACACAACTTATGCATTTTATACAATAAAAAAAATGTATGTAAATATATAACGTAAAAGATTTATTTTGATAACATTTAAGGCGTGATAAATAAAAATTCCAATATAATTTGTCTACTATGAACGTACTAAAAGTAAAGCTGTACAGTTTGTATTAAAGCATGAATAAATCTGAGTAATATTGTATTAAGTTGTTGTCAACTTCCTTTTATATACTACGAGCTGCATTGCTTATTCCGATATGAAAATAGTTATAAATTAACAATTACATTTTTAAAGTAATTATATATTGAAAGAACACGAGAATTTGGGATTTATTTAAGTACATACTTCATTCAAATTGTTTTATTATTTATGAAAATTATTAAATTAAACTAAAATTATGTCATCAGTACAAAATGTCTCCTAATACAATTTTATAAGAAAGGGAAAATTATTCTCCATCTACAGATTTTATAACTTCTCAGAACTGAAATGGTACGATAAATATGTTATAATATTATACCAAATGTATCCCTCCATTTCATACCAACTGTCAAAAATGTCAAAATATCATCTTTGGACAAATAATAAATACCAGGTAAATGTAAGTAGGTATATTACTAATAATTTGTTTTAATTATTATTACTATTATTATTTATTTCTATTGTAATATTTAGAAGATCTCTTGCTAACGTTTAATTATAATTAAAATCCTAGAGAGGTTATAAACATACATTTTTAATAATTTTGAATACTTTGAGAATAAAATTAAACTACTAATGGAGGATCACGTTTAAAGAGGTGATAAATTATTAAGTAGAATTCTATTTTTTTAATTCAAAATTAGTTTATTAGTTAATATTACAATTTTTTAAGATCTGCAGAATAACTCAATGATAACTTTGTACATAAAATATTTTAAAAATGGAAATGTTCATACGGCTATTTGATGATAAAACATACAAACTGAAAAGCCAGTCTCAACTCTCAATAATCAGTCTCAATGAAAATATAGACAATAAAATATTAAAATTCACAATGCATCGGAGAAGAATAAACCTATTTAGGAACGTTTAAAGCAAATAATGAAATAAATGTTTAAATAGTAGGTTAAATTAAATTGTAAGCTAAAAATGTAACGTAGATTTTATTTTATATCAGTATAAAAATAAAATTGATAAAGAATCTAAAAAAAAAATAATTTATTTCAGAAATAAACATAATAGGTAAATAATTACTAACGATAATAGTTATAGGATGAAAGTAATTAAAAAAATAAATAAACCCCTATTAGAAATTAAAGACATTTCAGTAAACAATAAAATTAATTTCTACTTTGTTAACAGCATTGTGAAAATAGATTGAAATCCTCCGAAAATAATTAACAAACTAATTTGTTCCATAAATGTAGTTGTTACTATAATTACTATACAACTATTTGAGTTAACCATTGTATTTGATATTTTCAATGAATAAAAATGCACTATGTATTAATAATAAATAATAATAATAATAATAATAAATATTTTGATTGTTGGAAATTAATGATTTGAATTCATGTCCTCCAAATTATATGAATATTGTACTAATTAATGAATAGTTTATTACTTTGTTTTAACATTTAACTATGAATTAGTATTCAATGTTGGTAAACATTTTTAGTGTTCAGTTATTCATGTATATAATAAATATTAAATTGTTTGTTTCCATGGGTATATAAATTCCGTATATATAAATCTATAAAAATTGTAATATTATTAATAATTAATTTATAGGAAAATAATGTTGAAATTAATGGTTTTACTTTCGATACAATAACTATACAAATTCATAAAAACTTAAGTATTTGTTTATTTGTATTTGAGTAAATAAAAATAATGTCAAATTTTTATGTCAATGAAATATTTTCTAATTAAAAACTAAAATTAATTAATACTTAGTATATATTGCAGGTTTTGTTATTGCATGGTTTAATATCAAATATGTTATTAAATAAGATCTAAATTTATTGCTTTCGTTTATAGGACTAGACGATATAACAACAGATTCTAATAAATTATTCCTCTAATAATATTAACATAGGTACCGAAATAATTAAAATAACCCACGATAGAGTTAATTTATTTTAAAACAAATTGATTGGACATTTAAGGAATAGTTTATAGGCTAATTAATGTTGGAATATCAATATTTAAATTAATACAAGTTTCTTATTGAAAAACAATTTTTGGGACTAAAAATCTGAATGACCTGTCAAAAAATGTTCATGTTATTTTATATTATAGTCTGAATAGGTATTATTAAAAATGTTTAGAAGTTCAAATAAATTATGAGCTTTTTACCTCATTTGAATCATAAGTTTGAAATATATAAATTGTTCATGTAACAACTAGAGAAGAAATAACCATCAAACCAAAGTAAGTTTTGTTTATCAATTATTAATTAATTAAATTTTATGTTAAATACATTCATATTTAATTTTAATGTAACTTTTATGAAATCATGTTTAGGTTTAGCAGTAGAAAAGTTAATTTATACATAATGAAAATCATTAATAGGTACCCTCCATTATAGGCCATCAACATTCGTATGAATAATGTTGAATAGTCTGAGAGTTAAATACATCATTTTGCTCAGGTTGCAAATGACACACAACGGTTTGCCCGTCTAGTACGGCAATTGTCCTGGCTGTTTGTTCCTTAAGCTGTTGCCTAAATGCAGCGTTAAGAGCTGTATGGAAATTGTGAGTTTCTGGGTTTTGTGTGGGAGCCATAATAAGAGGCCTATGGTCACCATAGCTCTTCGATGACTGGCGACTCATATCACTGTTTCGTCGACCGTCTTCATCGCTCAAATCAGACACAAGAGCAGCTTGTTCCCGCTCTCGTTCACGTTCTCGTTCTATCTCTTCGTACACAGGATCATCTAGTCCGGCAGATGCAGATATACCCCCCATAATTTCAGAGTATGTGTGATTCCATGGACTAGTAGCTCGTACACCGCTTACTCCAATATATTTTTTTGATGAACAATTGTTGTCAACAAAACCATCACCAATAGTATTACATCGAAGTGAACATATGTTGGGTGTCCCACGACTGCTATGTACATAATTAGGTTTGTTTAGTGTAAAACAGTTATCTTGGATATTTGGTTTACTCTAAAAAAAAAGTATAAATTCATTACTCAAATTTTAACATGAATTTGTTTTTAAGTAGGTACCTGCGATGACTGTTTATGAAGGGTTCCACTACTGAATACAGCAGAATTTTTTGGCAATTTGGTACGAGAATAACTCTTTTGGCAAGAACGGGAGTAAGGTAACGTTGCACCACATATTCCAGATTTTGGATCTTCATTACATACTGAATTATCCAAATTTGGCAGGTCCATTTCATTTTGGATATCAACAACTTTTGTTACAGCATGTCGCTCGTGAGGTTGGTGAAATGTCTTTAAATTAAAAATCCCAAGAATACATTTTTAAAAATATATCATAAATCATTTTAGTACATATAGATTTGTGTGTTAAATAAACTTACATTCATTCTATGTGATGACAAAGATCTTGGTGTTGAAGACTCTGCTATACTGCCTTGACTGTTTTGGCCAACCGATGTACCATACAAACTAGTCCTTTGATTTTTATAATTGAGATTCAATTCTGGTGTAGAATTTATTAAGCAGCATTGCCACGGTAAAAATGAAATTATAGTTAACTCAGAAAAAACTTTATACACCTGTAAAGAAATAATATGAGTTAAATTTATAATTGTTCATTCAACTTAAATTCATACAACTCACTGAATTATTTTTAATACAGTAAAGTATTATTATTAACAATCCTTGCGAACAATTTACTGCTGAAAATATATACAACATAAATGTTGAATATGATGCTATGTATAGAAATGCTAATGTCCACGTTGATGTTATGAAAACAAATAATAAAATAGCACTTTTTAACCACATCCTATAAATAAATTTATATTAATATAAAATTAATGCAACAAATAAATAATAATTAATAGTAATTATTACACTATATTCTATAACTTACTTCAGAGATGTTATTTTAACATTTTCTTTGCATTTGACCGACATCATAGAAGAATTACTTTTAATAATATATAATGATAGACATAGAAAGACTAGATTTACCTATGCAAAGAATAACAGTAACATAAATATTAATTCAAACAATGTTTTAGTGAAAATACTATGAATTATTAAAAATGTTCATGACTTACTGAAACCACAAACATTATACTATAAATAATAATAGTATTTGCTTGCAGGCAGAAGGAATTATTTGTGTTGTAGATATAAGTGTTATCCACATAACAAGCTACAATAACCACTGTCAATGGAACTCCATAACCAACTAAATAATATAAACGCATTTGCAATTTTTCCGAGTCAAATGCTTCAATTAATGTAGCATATAAATGGAAACCTAAGAGTATACAAAAAATTATACAGTTAAATATAGTGATGTCAATTGAGGATTTCTGGAATATTATAAGTAGATTCATCATCCAAGTTATGCACTACAATCATAGATTTTTTAGCTTCTATTTAAGAAACTTGTGATTCAAAGTAAAACTAACCAAAATAATAATTTACAGAGCAATTAATTTTAAATAGTTACGTATTTCATTTCCAATGCTTCTATAAGTTTTAAAACCCTATCATAAATTAAATGTATTATAAATAATTAATTAATATTGTATTAATGAACCGTATAGGTTATCGTAGGTGTTTCGTTTATTGCTAGGAATCTATTAATTTTTATTGAATTTATAACCAACATTTTAAATAAATGTACTAGAAAATAGTGGAATAGAATATAATATTCATAAATAATAAATAATATGTTAGGTTAACCTCACACAATTCAGATTTAAAATATGATCTTAAGACATTTATATATAGTATTAATATTAACATTATTATAAACTTCAACTAGTCAATAAAATAATGATATTTTTAAAATTTAAATTGGTTTCAAATTGCTTAAAATAAGAAGAGAAACATTTAGGTATTAAAGACTGTTTGATATAATTTGGATTAATTATATCTATAATTTTGTACAGAAACAATATATTATCATTATTTGTTTTAGTTTTAATAAATTTCAAATACATATATTAAACATTCATAAAAGCTTAATAATATATGTCATAATTATAAGCAGTTGATTTGAATAATTTTATCTTATAAAGCACTGGTTCCAGGTAGTATTTCTATTTTCATTAGAAACAATATTTTTTAAATAATTGTATTAATGTACTAATAAATTATATAATTATAATTTAATTTAATTAATTTCATAATTGTTCTATAATATCATGAATAATATGATTAAATAAATCCATTTTTAGACACAGTAGTACATACCTTCAATTAGTGTCCATGTAAATGAACACAACAATAAAATATGTAAAATTGCTGCCATGATTGTACAAATAAATACAATATTTTCTTGTGTGATTCCAAACATAAAAAAACATTCAACCAAGAAAAGGCAAAAAAATACATTTTTCAATATTACTGTCCGATTTGACTGAAAATAAAAATAAAAATGTATTATTTACATGTTGATTTATAAAAATAATAAATTAATTTACTTTAACTGTTAGTTGTAGAGTAATTGCGGCCAATAGAAAACAAATTCCAGAAAATATACAACTTATGTACATGACCATATTATTTGTTGCAATGCTTAACGGTGCACTACCGGAATTTTTAAGGTCCATTAATATAGCAAAATTTGTCAAATGATTACATTTGCATAATGTATGAGTTTGATTTGAATATATAACGGAACATCCTTCTTCTGACCATCCACTGTGAAAAAATATCAATATAATATATTATGTAAAAAACAAAAATATAATATAAATAATACAAAAAGACAACACATTATTGCTTTTATTTAACAAGTTTTATTTAATGAAATCACTGGTTAATAGATTTCATCAATTATTTTGGTAATAATAGAGAAAGTTAAAGCTTTTCAAAATTGAGTGTAATTGCATTAATTTCCTAATCGTAAATTGATATTGTAGTTTAGGTAACAGGTACCAATGGGCATTGGGAACATTAATCACATTTTTTTAGATATTAAATAATAATTAATTTAATAATAGTTATAGATTATAAATTATAATTAAATGTAATAATAAACATTTGAATCAGCCCATGAATGATTTGTAAGATGAAAATATGGTAAGTTTTGTCAGGATTATAGACATCACAATACATATAATGCAATACATGTAATATTTTTATTTTGAACCATCATAGCAAATATAAAATTATATTAATGTTATAATTTAAAACAAAAAATATAATTGCAATACCTAATTATTTTTACGCATTTTTATAAAAAAGATTTTTTTACTCACTTTTCTGTATAATCCCAGAATACACAAGTAGGATTACTAACATTGTCGATTTGAAGATGTTGAAAACATAATTTTACTGGTTGATGTAATTGAATATGTTTTCCTTTACCAAGGGATGCTGATATTATTTTACTATTTATTATTCTAAGACCATTGCTTGATTGCGGTTGTAAAATATTTTCTAGACTATCAAATGCTATGTAAACAAGTCTTATGAATCCTGCTTCACTATTCTCAAGTAATGCTGTTCTATGCAATTGTAACCATGTGTTATTCATGAAGAATCCTGTATTAGATGAATATGAATGTGGAAATACTTCAGTGTCTACATTTTGTGTAGCAATAACCCGTACACTCAATACTGAAAATAATATTTAAATAATATTTAATAATAATTGATGGTATAACATATTAGTAGCTTACGGATATTTTGAACACTATGAGTGATTGTCTTTTCCTTCATCATTATATCAGCAAGTAGAAATGAATTCTCTTCTAGACCAATCAATAAACTTGTTGCAACACGCATTTGTTCACTAAATGTCAGGTCCTTCCATGAAGGATATTGAGAAGCATTAAGCAAATTGCTGCCAATCCGTACCACACATTGTAATAAATCAGTAACCATAGCCTCCTGTTGTTGCTTATCAGGAAACGTAACCATATCTTTTTCCATTTTTTGAGCAACATCTCGTAACATTTTTGTTGTAGTCATCATATCACCTCCATATAATGGTTTACTATCAGTCACCTAAAGTAAAAAATAATTATTAAAATATGAAATCCATTCATACAAAAATTATTTATTCAAGGGCCATTGTCCTACCAACAATTTTAGTTCACGAGAAATTTTACAAAATTAAAGTTAGTTTATGTTGTCCGATTTTAATTCTGAAAAAAAAAAAAATGATTTCAGCAGTAAGATGTCTCTTACAATTGTAAGGAACATTTAGAAAACATTTTATTTTATTTAATTTTGAACTTTAATTGAAAACTTGAAAATATGGATTTTATTATCAAATCATAACAATTAAACTAAAAATTGAAAATGGGAAATGTTCTGTATAATGTATTGCTGAATTAAAATCTTTTTTTTTTAAATTAAAATTCAACAACATTAACTTACTTTAATTTTGTCAAAACATAATAAGTAAGTTGCTGTAAAATTAAATAGAGTGAATTGTATATTGTTATCGAGTTAGATGTGAGTACGAGAGTAGCATGTGTTAATTAAAATAATATTTTAAGGCTAACACATAGATCGAGGGCAACAAATACGACATTCAAAATTGCTTAACTGTTGCCTCTTAAATAAAAGCCATGGTGAGGAAAACTTGCTTCATAATTAAGATACAAAAAAAAAGTATTAATATTAACTATTATAAATCTATATACCTGTGATAGATCATTTGCAATACTGATAATAGAATCTCCCTGATGAAGTCTACCTTCTAAACTTGATAACCATACTGAACGACACTCTGAAAGATCTGGTGTAGGAGGTGATCTAAATGTTACACCTTTAATATAAGTCTGACATCTCCATCTATAAAATACAAATTAACAAAGTGAATTAAATTTAAATATTAACGTAATATATAACAGTATAATGCTATTGTTGTATCTCATAACATTTTACCTGGCAAGACCAGCAGCACCACCAGGACATGGTTGTACAGCTTCTTCTCCTGATTTAGTCCAATTCCAAAATAAACTTCTTGATGTTTCAGGAGCACATGACAACGATAATCTATCATCCATTCCTTCAACATCAATTATGCTTAACTGTGGTGGCAAATCACTGGTAGGTACAATCCATTCAGTCGTTATTGCACCTGCTATGATAACACGAAACATCAATAAATAAAAATACACAAGTGTTTAGAAACCAAATAATAGGTTTAATTTAAAAAGTTAAAATAACAAGTTAAAAAAAAATGTACATTGTTTATGTTATAAGCTACATTTAATTACTGATAATAATTTAAGTAACATTTACTTGATTGCAAGTGTTCATTATCAGTCTTGGAATTATTTTCTTTATAATTATTAACAACAATAGAAACTTCTGGTGTAGCAGTCGTACTAGTACTAGTAGTAGTCACAGAAACTGATACAGGCTCTTCGTCTACACTAGACCCAACAATATCATCTAATTGTGGTGAAGACAAAATAGGTGGGATTGGTGTAGCAGGTTTCAAAGTTAATAATTTATCTGCATTCCAAACACTAGGTTGTGAAGTTATTAACCAAGGAGGATTTGGTCTGAGTGTTGTAGTTGATAACGATGCTGGAATTTAATAAATATTATAGTGAAAATGAACTAATAAAAACAAATATTATATTTATATGCATTGAATTACCAGGAACACAATGATATTGTGCCTCAAGATACTTCATAGTTCCGGGGCATGGGTCAGAAAATAAACTTGTGTTTGCTTGTATGCTGCAATTTCTTTTTTCATTACATCTAAATTAAAAAAACAAATGAATATCAAAAGTTTAATAAGAACAATATTAATAAATATTAATTACCTGGCTTGCAGTAGTGGTAAAGTATTTGTGGACATACAATTGACACTCCAGTCCGTATTACCGTGGTCATTGCAAACGGTAATAGAATATCTACCATATATAGCCCTATCCAAATGAATGATTTCACCATCCTTACATTCCAATTTAAGAGGTTTTCCTTCACAGGCATAAACAGTATCATAACGAGAAGTATCTATAAATTGAACTAAATTATTAAAGTGAAAATATTTGTAACTTAAATCGCATCATTTTATATAAATAATTAACTATAAGTAAAATACCTTTAGCTAAGGTGACAGGAAATAAAACAGTCAACAAGAAGAATACAAGTTTTACATTTGCACTGCTCAATCTTGCCATCTCCTTTTTGACACTAAAAACAAAGATAAAACAAAACAACACATTATTTAAAGCCTCATCATTAACTTTTAATACTTTTATCTATTACTTTCATTACATTATTTTAAATAAGAAATAGGTGATCACCAGTGATGTGTTTTAATTTTTAAAGAGCACTAACATTTCAAATTACTACCTATAGTAAATTGAATTCTCAATGAAATAATTATTAAGAACTCTTACAAAAATAATAAATGTTTTATATATTTATATATAACTGTATCCGATCAAGTTTATATTATAAATAAACGTAAATAGGTGTCTACATTAATTTAAAATACATTTTAGTTAAAAAAAATACATGAATAAAAACTTTGAATTAATTTTTTTTTTTCTATTTTTATAATACACTTCTACGTTTAACATTAATATAATGAGATTATAAATAAGTTTACTAATTCATAATATGAATTTGCAATGAATTAGCAAATTTTATTTGTTGGGTAAAATGTGTGAACATTTAATACAAAGCTCCTGATATAAATATTGTTGCAATAGCAGTTGAAAAATATTATAAATACAAAGCAACATTTTTATTTATAAGCATTTAAAGTTTGAATTTTTACAAAATATAATTATTATCTTATAGTTAAAAATGTATAAAATGTTCTACTTTTATATCCAAGGATTGAACATTTAAAACAAGGTTCCAAGTAAATAGATTATAGATAAATTACTTTATTCACAATAATATCATCAAATATATTTAGTAATATCATAGGCTGACTGACTATCTTCGCTTGGAATCGTTTTTCTTATACAAGTATATTATATCATTGAATTCAAATTTAACACCATCTATTACAGTGACCCACTAGTAACCTACTCTACAGCAGAGCGACTCCCACTAGCCCAACTTTTTTTAAATTTTTTATTATAGTCGAGATTATAGTTTATCTTGTAGTTAATTAATGATAAATAAGTATTATAAAATATATTTGCATGAATTATTTTAATACTGTTTATTTATTCATCACTGAATTAAATGAAGGTACTAGTTAAAACATAATGAGGCAAACTTATAACTGAATTAAATGTTAAAATAAAAATTTGAAATAAACTGATAAAATAAAATCATTTTTTAAACTGTTAACTCGTAAGCAAAAATTATTGGTATATACTATATAATAATCCTTATAATAATAGTTGTCAACTTTTATATGCATGTATAATAAAATGGTATAGCAATAAATACCAGATAAGTGGTAGATAACTGCTAGGATAATAGCTGTATTTTGTAATATTTTTTTCCAACTGGCTAGTTCTATAAACATAATAATATGATTACCACGCATAATAATGTTAAAAACAACTTATGCGATATATGTCACAATGATATATTATTGTATATAAAATCAACTCTGTGTGAATGCAATTCATTGTTAAAGAAAAGAACAATGTATATAAACCTATTATATATATACTTGTAAGCAGTTTTAATTTTTCTTGCATACCTACCTAATACAAGTTGAAATGTTTAGTTAGACAATTACTTCTAGGGCTAAGATTTAAATGTGTTAGAATGTATTTTTTTGCAGCGTTCATTTAAAAATGTGGTCAATAATGTCCACAAATTACTTCATATGATACACATGATCTATTTTTATTTTGCGTGTTTTTGCATATTTGAAGTATAATGCATACCTATTATATCGTTGCATATTTTAAATATAGACTAAATATAAACTCGAAAAATACATATTTTATGAAATATTCCAATGAAAGTAGTGAAAAATGCTGGAAAAAAATTCCAGGGGACTTATGTCTCCATATAATTTTAAGCGTTCCATATACCACGGTATAATATAATTTTATGTATAATATCTGATATATATGTATTGTATGAACAGTGAATGTGTAAGCACTCATCCCACTTTAACCCTGAATAATGTTCAAATTTATAATTTATTTCATGTAAAATTTAAATCACAAATAATGCTACATTTTTAAAGGGGACACTTTTTAACAGCTGTCAGATGTAGGAAGACTAGGTCCCCTACATCTCCCCCACTTTAACTCCTGGTTTTATCATTATAAGATGATTCTGTTTCTGATAGTTTCAAAAATATTAGTAAATTATCATCATATAAGTATTACCTATATTATGTATTAAACAAAAATAGGTAAATGCATATTTTACCATATTATAAAGGTTAAACAACATATCTAAGATAGTAAACAGGTCACAGATATTTGCTGGTAAACTATTAAATTATTGAGAGTAAATAATCTAAGAAAGTACCTACCTATACTTTTGTAATTTTACAGAAGATTAATATATATCTAAGTAGGGACCTAATTTATTTTGAGGTGGGGAAAAAATTAACTTTAAATTTCAAACTTTATATTGTATTCTTCTAATCAAAATCATCTGATGGTTATACCAGAGCAATGACCTTACAAATTATAATTCAAATTAACTATGAAATCTATGAAGTATAAATATAATGTAGGTAGTATTATACATAATAGGTGCTTCCTCAATACTATGGACTGATCGGGGGACTGGTGTTGAAATCATAGATATTCATAGATATTTTCCATAAACACATTTTTAGTGAATACCTAGGCTATTTTAATAGTTACTAATACATATCTATCCATATGACATAGGCACACATCATTTTATTACCTCTATTATTAAATAAATATAGGTCGAGATAAAGGTAATATTAACACTGCTATAATCCAAATTATATCATGTCCTGTAAATTATTTTATAAAGAACTATACAAAAAAAAAACTGTATTGTAAGTATTTTTCATTAGTATATTTACCTTAGTACAATTGTAAAATAGGAAACTATAGAAATTAATAATAAATAAATAAATAATAACAAGTATGTACTTACTCTGTGACGAGCTTTTTTTAAAAGGGGAGCGGGATATGAACTTGTTTAATATTCTCAGACCACGTTATATAGTGATAAATTGATGTTCATTGCCTTACGCCGGCCAAACTGAATGCGTCCTATGTGTCAAAAAACAAAACAGCTTCTATTTTGCCGCATAGGACGCAATTGGAACAGCATGATCAAAATAGTAATCACAGGCATTTGCCGGATTCAGTTTGGATACAGCGTTATTTATTATATACATTGTAAGACAAAAAAAGACTTGAAGCACACCCTTGAGCACATCCCTGTAACTACTATCATATTCACACTTCATATTATAGTAATATCTTTATTATACCTATTTAATTCTAAAATAGAAATTAATAAATTCCAAAACATAATATAAGTACCTAGGTAGAAGGTACTAAGTAACTTAAAAGTGAACATTTCTGCAAGTAATTTTTATACTACAAAAAAAAGTGTATTTCTATGACTTAATCTGTAAATTAAGTATTACAGTAAATTAATTATTTATAAATAAAAAATGTAAATATACAAAATATATAACACTTGATGAACTTAGGTATTTTTGAAGGTTATTTTAGATTCTGAGAAGAGAGGTGAATGTATTGATTTTACAATGTGTTTTTAGATTTTGAGTGGAACGATGAATGTATTGATTTTACAATGATGTGTGTTTTGTTTTTTATTTTTTTTGTGTCTGTGTACACGATAAGTAGTCGAAATAATGCTTCGATTTTCAACTTCAGTATCTTGTTTGATTGGAAAGTGAATATCGTTGGTGAATTAGGAAGGTCAACATTTAAAATTCCCAGTATTCAAAAGCACCAAGAAAAACAAAAGAAAAATTAAGGAAAAACAGGAATTTTTACGCAAAATCAATTTTTCACAAAATTGAATTTGGTTTTTGGTGTAACTTTAAAAAAAATGACCGTAGATACATGAAATTTTCACTGGTTATTTATAATTGCATTTTCTATACACGATAACATTTTCAAAATATTTTAATTTTTCATTTTTTTTTAGTTTTTTTTTTTAAAAAATTTCAATAAAATTTTATTTGTTAGTTAAAAAAGCTTGAAAATTTAATGGGAGGCTCCTAGTATATTGTTTCAAAGGCAGATCAAAAATATTAAAAATCCTTAGTCACAGTTTTTTTTTATAAGCATTTAAAGTTCAAAAATTGACAAAATATGGAAAAATCCCAAAAATTAGCTAAATTATTTTGAGTTAAGAATTCGTAAAAATTTTTCTTTTGAAATCCAAGACTTTAAAATATAGTACAAGATTCCTTATAAAATTATCTACCTTTATCAAAAAAATGTCTATAAAAAAGTCAAATTAAATTTTTATGAGCTTTTGAAATTCAAATTTTTACATTGGATATTCACTCGATTTCTCATGTAGCGATTTTTTTATTTTGTTGTAATTCGAAAACGAATAACTGTAGATACATGAAAAATTCACTGAATGTTTATATTAGCATTTCCTATACACCATACAATTTTGAAAATATTTTGACTCTTTTTGAGCTGTTAACGGACATTTTCAGTTTTAAATTTTTTTAGTTTTTTTTTCTATAAATATCAATAAAGTTTTATCTGTTGGGCCAAAAAGTGTAAAAATGTAATTCAAGGCTCCAGATATATTGTTACAATATCAGTTGAAAAGTATTAAAAATGCAGACACAATTTTTTTTATAAGCATTTAAAAATCGAATTTTGACAAAATGTATCAAATTTTAAAATTAAATAATTATTTTGTAGTTAAAAATGTATAAAATGTTCAACTTTTATATCTAAGGATTGAAAATTTAAAACAAGATTCCACGCAAGTAGTTGATTCTGTAGCAAAACTAAAAAATACACAAGCACAGTTTATTTTTATAGTCATTTTAAGTTCGAATTTGAATGAAATTACATATTAAAATCAATATTAACGATTTTAGTTTTTTGTTGTAATTTAAAAATATTATTTGGGGATATATGAAACTAAAAAATCAAAAAATCAAAATATTATGGGATATCCATACAATCTACCATAACAAATAAGAAGTATGCTCTAAGACTGTGCATATTTTTTTTTTATTACCATTTTTATATAC